CGCGCGAGTCGAATCGCGCGTTCCTCTCCGACAGGGGCTAGAGTTCTATTCTCTCGTTGACTCGCGTGCACGACCTACCGCGCGACGGCTGGCTAATCTCGCCGGCCGTCTTCTCCAACGAGAGAGCATGAAAAATCGAAGATCAAAGTCAGCCTGCACGTCGAATCGAAGAGAGGACGTCTGGATGCAAGATTGAATTTCCGCGGGGAACTAACGGGGAAAATTTGCGCGGACGATCGAAAGAGAACGGTCGACGGGGACTTTGGTCGGGGACGGCGAATACACCCCACAGGCCCCGTATCCCCGGCACGGTCGTTGGCAGCGCATTGGCAAATTAATTCAATCAATTAATAGGCGCTGCGCAGCACACCGGCGACCAGCGGCCAATTCGGAGGCACCGGATGTTGCCCGACCGCCACAGCTACCGCTCTGTTCCGGGGGTCGTCCACGCGAAACGACGACCTGTGGTTCACACCTACGTGCAATCGCGCGAGCTACATACCTATTTGAGATCACGATCGTACTAAAATTTACACGCAACTACGTCTGGCACGTAAAACGTGTATTGAAGAATTAAAGATTCGTGTATACCTGCATAGACGGCACGTGAAGGATATATTAAAGATTGACATATATTTACTGATTCGCAATATCACACGTATCGTGTGGTTTCGACGACGTGTACGTCAGAAATTTTTTAACGTGTTCTTGTTTCTTCTGTATATTTTTCAAATGTTGTTTCATCTTCACACACGTGTAATTGACAGCAATTTATTTTCCAAGAAGCAATCTCCAACTCTATTGCGCTCGTCTTTTTCCCTGTCTTCCATTTTGCTAAACTGAAATTGCTTCAAACTTACAGTACAACTCGATCTAACGTTAATAAAGAAGACAATACTTGGAAGAAGTTTCCAATTCAGGGAATCTTTTTCTATGAATAAACAGAACTCTGGTTATAGAGGATAAGGTACATCTATTAAGTCCAATTTTGTCATAAACGAAGTTTATTATCAAGTTTCACGTTCAAGTTATCAAACGTACGCTTATCGTCTGCGGAGTTCTCGAGGATGTTGCAGGTGGACGATGCATTTATATATTAAAAAAATGTAGCCGAATGTCAATCTGGGTTCGTTCGTTGCACGTGTACACGTGTGTCCACACACGCGTGAAATAGAGACATCTAGCACGCTGCCGCCGCGTTTTCGAGAGAGCCAATCGATACCGGTGCCATCCTCGCCACCGCCATTTTATTTCGTGGCAAGCCCTTTTTTACCCCTACCGCCCACCACCACCGCCGCTGCCGACACCACCGCCAACCCTCGACTCGCGGCAATTTTTAGACGGAAACGGAATCTAACGATCGCTTCCACCCTCTCCCTCCGATTCTCCCTCCGTCCCTTTGCAATCCCACTTTTTTCTCCCCCCACCTCCCCTCGAACAGCCGCGTTCCATCGAACGCGTTTGGAAACGCGTGTCTCTTTCACTCTTCCCTTCGGGATCTAGAACCCGAGGATTACGTTGGATGGCGAGCGGGATAATGGAAAAAGCGTGGAAAAGGCGAGGAAAAGAAGAGGTGGAGACAGAGACGGTCCGCGGCGTGCAGCGACTAATCTAAACGAGCGATCGGGATCCGATCGAGATCTGATAATCGAGTTGTTGGCACCTGTGGCAGCGGACATAATTAATGTCGGCTAGGTGCTACCGGCTGCACCCCCTCTCCTTCCCTCTCCCTCTCCACCCCGCGCGCCAGTGCCGCTCGTTAATTCCCGGCGGGACATTACCGAGCAAATTAGGCGAGCCTGGTTTCCTTCTCTCGCTCGGTTTCACCACCGCCATCGTCCACGCACGCGCTTTCGCCTTTTCTTCTGGTCCCTTGTCTGGGTCCTCGTCCGGCACACGCGGCCTACGCGCCGTTTTTCACCGGCTCTCGACTGTGAAACGCCGCGCGGAACGAAGTGTCCCAACGATCGGTCAGGAAGTGGGCGTTCCAGCCGCGTCGGCTTTCGTGAGCCAGAGGAGGAAGGACAAAAACGAGAGCAAGAATGCGAATGAACAGAGCAAAAAAGAAAAAAAAAGAAGAAGAAGAAGAGTAAAATACGCGACTGCTATCGTCGTCTATATTAGGGATGGGATCGAGTCCAATGCGTATGGCCTTTCATCATTGAATTGAGATCGCTCGTAATTTCCAACAATTTTAATATTTCTTTCATTTTATTTAAAAGAAGCTGTTTAGCCTGAAACTGTCTACATCCTCTGTATAAAATCAAGATTTTCCAAAGAGAACATATGAATAGTGGATATTTTGCAAACATTTTTGTTTTGTAAGAAATGATTGCGAAAAAAAGATTGAAAATTGTGAACAGCTCTGATCCAATGGCCTGTACTTATGAATCCATGTCAAGTTTCAATTGTAATACTGCAAAGGAAGAGTTGTCTTTTCCTTTTCTCTTTTATACCAATTTGGTATAAATAAATTCCAAAACTAAAACTAAAAGTCCAGTTCACTTTGATAAAAATCAATATCGATAGTCTTCGTTCGACAACGCTGAAGACTGTATTAAAGTATTTATATATCTGTAATGGATGTTGAAAATTCTTTTGCGAATATTCTTAAAAATATACTTGGAAATCGCGTCACAAATGCATTATCCAGTCAAAAATTTCCGACGTACAGGTTTATAAAAAAATCCTTCTATCCACTGAAATTATTCGTTCCCCAAAGTGCTCATGAAACATTCGAAATTATTATATATAAATCGAGTATACCATTGAAAATACAGTGAATTCCCGTACAACGCGGGGAATATTGAAACACCCATTATCAAACGAATTTATGAAAACAAAATATTAGAAAATTCAAATAGAATTGCTCGTATATAAAAAAAAAAACGTCAAAAATAGAAAGAAAAAAATCGAGAAATATCTCAAAAAGCCCTTTATCGAGGTGCACTTTGCAAAGTATACGAATCCAACGAATAGAAGTTGGAACTTACTTGTCAGACGCTCGATCCCATCTCTAGTTTGTACCGCTCTCCCTCCTTTGCCAGTCTCGTTTCTCTTATTCCCTCGAATCACTCCTTCCTCGCTCGGTTTTCCTCGTTTCCACGAGTATAATTAAATGATTCGACGGATTCGCCAAGTTCGACCGCTCGTCTCGAAGCGTCTTCGAACAGGTTGTTATTACCAGTACGAGCGAGCAGTGGCTCGCGCAAACGAAGGTAAACGAAGAAAAAGGGGTCGAGCTCGAGGTACGAGATACGATAGAGTGCGGGGAAAGCTCTGGATGGAGAACGTTCGACAGCGGTGCTCGTCCCGGGCTATGGAAACTCACTCGTCTCTCTTTGCAGACCGGGCGAGAGGGTGAGCGACCGAGCAAAGTCGTTAATGTTTTGTGTATTCAAATAAACAGCGTCGATGCGCGCGTTCGCACGCAACAACCGGCCTCGACCTGACCGGAGCAGTTGAGGCCCGACTCGTCCAACGGTTAATGGCTTTATAATGCCTTCGTTTCCCATTAAAACGTCGCCACAACAACGTCGCGTCTTGCCTCTCGATTCCTCCGACAGAGATTTCTCGCTCGTGTCTCCCTCTTTCTTTTCCGCACCTACCGAACACGATCGTCTCATCTAGCGAGACGAATTACAACTATCGTGCAACTCCCGCTTCCAAATTTCCAAGCCGCTTCCGTAGACAAATCCGACGCTTTGTCCGGTGATCCTAGAACCTTAATACTTGGTTAGTACTTGGCACTTCCCTCGGTTGAGCACTCAACCGAGGGAATTGAAGTCGGCGACCC